GGGGGGGGGGACCTTTACGATAGAGGTGCACTGATTGCAGTTTTCTGGCCGATCACCAATTTCTAAAACGTCTGACCTGCCGATTCTGATTTTGTTTTATAAACGACACTGTCAGGTGTTATAAAGTCACAATGCACCTTCAATTTTCCAATATTGTTTTATTGAAAAACATACCCTTGAACAATACCCTAGAAACAATACAAACTTGTTTTAACTGGCCTTGAGGTAGTGCTCTGAAATATAAATGAAGTTCAGACAATTGTTGTTAAAACTCAAAAAAAAATCAGTAAAATCGGTTTCTCGGGCAAGTATCGTCCGATTTCCCAAAATTAAGGAAATTGTGGCCGATAAATCAGTGCACCCCTACTTTACGGTGTTAGAATGCATCAATTTTAGACTCTAAAGAGGTCAGACCCATAAAAAAACATGTTTTTGATACAGATATAAAAGACATTTTGGTGGAAAAGTTACACTTTAATATGTTATGTATGTGGAGCCATAGACACAAAACGTTTAGTATAATGTTCCTGAATCTTATTACCATATTTTTCTGACTATAAGTTGCACTTAAAATCCTTTATTCATTTCAAAAATCGACAGTGAGCCTTATAATCAGGTGCACCTTATGTATTAATTCTGGTTGCGTTTAATGACCTTGAAGCGATTTTATGTGATTGTTGTGAACAAGTTGATTAAAATAAACCAACCAGATATTCTCTAATGCTCCGGGGAATTGTTTGCTTTGACGTGAACACAGTTTAGTTGTTGGTCTAAAAGTGCAGAATCATCTTCTAAAAGTTGTATCAGCAGCACGTAAGCTGAGCAGATTTTTTATTAACCCTCTATTATTGCACGGAGCATCGAGTGCTGCAAGGTTTCAACACAAACTCCGAGCAAACAGCGTGTTTGAAGTCGAGTCAGCAGTTAACGTTGAAAACCCTCTCGACAGCTTGTTATGGAGCCTCGAACCTGCAGTTTATGATCTCTGCCTGGATGTTAAGTGTGCGTGTTATCACGCAGCTGCAAAAACACGTGTTATAGTGAATAAAACTGTCAGCACGTCGTTATAAATGAGCCTACGGTGCAGTAGAAACATCCTTATTTCTTTACATTTTGCTTCCAAAGATCCAGGTTTTATCATTTGATTAAAATTAGTCTCAAACAATGTTTGTTCAGACATACTTTCAAAGTATTTCTTTGAACTCTGACTGCTTTTTCCCACATTTTCTGCTCAGATCCTGATTATTTTCAGAAAAATGTTGTTAGTTTGTAAAACCATCTAATCTGTGAATTACTCAGGCTTTAAAAGACCGAGATGAAAAAGAATGAGCCAATGTTGCATTAAAAAAAAAAAAAAAAAATCTGTCCTAAAACAAGATATTTAGACTCTTTGTTACAAGCAGCCTGACAGAAAACACAATTTGCTCCTTTTGTATTTTGTTACATCTTTATGAAATACCAAAAACAACCCAGTTTGACACAATAAACTGTATTCAAGCACAAGAAAAGTGGTTTCCAATGAGCTCCTAGCTGATATGTCTAATAGTAGCTGAACCTTTGAAGGATGGTGCATCTCTCAGGTTTTTATTCAGAGTTTAACAAACAAACAAACAAAATCCTCTAAAGATGATCAAGTATTGGAAATGAGTACAAAGCCAAGGTTTAAAGTGGAGCATAAAGAGTTAAAAGGTTTTGCACGGCGTGTGTGTAGAAATGAGTTTGTTTGACCTTTTATGACCGTGTACATGTGGCAGATGAACGGCGTGTAACACTCACTGTCATCGTTGCTTCAGTCGGATGATCTCTGCTCAGTTTGTCTCGGCTCTTCTCATCCTCTGCTCAGTTCAGATCTGGAGACACGCCGTTCGTCTGTGGGTCCGATCACGCATACAGCAGCTTTATAGAAGACCCTCATCAATGTTACTGGGAACTGAGATATTGGCTGTGTGCGTCTCCCCAGGAGACACACAACAAACCCTCTCCCCCTCGCTTTTCCCACTCCTGAGCCAACACTCGCTCTCTCCTCCCTAAACATGCGTGAACGAGCTACATGGTATTTCAAACCTCTCCCCTCACTGCCACAGTGTGCCCCCCCCCCCTTACAATATACAGCACCGTGAATATGCCACCGTTTCAGCCTGGGGACGTTCTCTTCTTCAGTCCTTCCTCTCAGTTCTCACTCACTCCCACCCTTCTTTACGTCTCTTAATTAACAGGTATGCTGGAATGATGGGAGCAGGCCAACGAGTTTTATCCGTAATCCCTGAATCATTACTGGGATTACTAGATTAAATATAAAAACCTCTTCATTGTTCAACCTTGTTGGTCTTTTTCCTCCACGTCAGAGCGTCCTAACGTCAGAGTCACACCAAGCATCGAGATGTTCTTCGGATATTTTAGGAATAAACTTTGCAGCCTTTAATTCCTATGGATGGCATTAATCTGGCTTCCAGTTCTAATGTTAAAAATGTTGGTGCCATTTTTTTTATTTTTTTTTATTAGGACGTCTTTTAACCCCCACATTAAAAAAACGTTACCAGAACTGCTTTCCTCCACCTGCGTAATATCACTAAGATTAGAAACATCTTGTCCAAAAATGATGGAGAAAAACTGGTTCATGCATTTGTCACATCTAGACTGGACTATTGCAATGGTTTGTTAACTGGGTGTCCAAATACTTCTTTAAAAAAATCTTCAGTTAATCCAAAATGCTGCTGCCAGAGTCTTAAATGGAGTTAGTGGGAGAGATCATATCTCTCCAGTTTTAGCTTCTCTCCATTGGCTCCCTGTCAAATTCAGAATTGAATTCAAAATCTTACTTCTAACCTACAAAGCTCTCAACAACCTAGCTCCATCTTATATTGGAGATCTTATCATTACATACAAAGCACTTCCCTCTCAGACTGCAGGTTTACTTGCGGTTCCTAGAGTTTCCAAGCATAGAACAGGAGGAAGATCTTTCAGTGATCAGGCTCCTCTCTTGTGGAACCAGCTTCCAGTTTCTGTCCGTGAGGCTGACACATTGTCCAGTTTTAAGATTAGGCTTCTTTACGTTTTGATAAATCCTAGCTTGGGTTTCCTGAGCTATCCCTTAGTTATGCTGCTATAGGCTTAGACTGCTGGAGGACAAATTGACCACATTTCCTCACTCTGCTCTGCTGCTGTCTTTACGTGCTCTACTCTGTTTGTATTTGTAATTATTGATTTTCTTTTGTTTGTCTTCTAATATAAAGTACACGTTGACCTGTCATTCTGTGCTCGTTTGTTCCTCCTTCCTGTCCCTCTCAAATCCCAGCTGGTCGAAGCAGATGGCCGCTCGTCCTGAGCCTGGTTCTGCTGGAGGTTTCTTCCTGTTAAAAGGGAGTTTTTTCTTTCCACTGTTGCCTTTGTGCTTGCTCAGGATGAAAGACTGTGACAAAGTGAAGATGCAACACAATCTGCTGGCTTCCTCTGATCAATAACTTTTACAAATAGTTTTTTTTTTATATATGTGAATGTTTCCATTCAGTGACCTGTGACGACTTCTGTTGTGACTTGGTGCTTTATAAATAAACTGAACAGAATTGAATTGACCCCGTGACCCAAAATGGAACAAGCGGGTAAAGATAATGGATGGATGGATGGATGGATGGATGGATGGATGGATGGATGGATGGATGGATGGATGGATGGATGGATGGATGGATGGAATTGAACTGAAATCAGTTTGGTTTTAAAAATTGCTCATAGCAGATTTTTACCGTCTGTGAAGAGACAAAAAACTACTGTGATGGTTTTTAAATATTTTAAATGTTTTCTTTTAACGACGTTAAATTTTAACAACACTTACACCTGTTACAGTTGAAAAACAGAGTTTCTAGCATTGTCCCACTGATGCACCTTTATCCTTTAAGGAATGATTACCACTCTCTTTCGTTCATACCAGGGTTTTAGTTCAAGATGGCTGCCACAGCCACATCTTCTGACACCTTGGAGTTTGTGTAGAGGATGACTCTCAGCTACTACTACAAAAACTACATCTCTTTGTCTGTAAACTTCTTTGAGTTATTACAGCCTTTTTTTTTTATTGTGTTGGCAAAGGAAATTAGCTGTGGTGGCCATCTTGAATTAGGTTGACTCCAAATGTCAGTCATTTTTAAATATACATAATTAAAATCTGTCCAATGGTTTCTGAGATATTTTGCTAATGTGACGTGTTGATTTTAAAAGATGCTCAAGTCTTAAGTAAAGATCTTGCACAACAGGTACTTGAAGTATGTGTGAGGAATGACTCTCAGCTACTACCACACCAAATATAAGCTCAACAGTCATCAAATTGATTGAGTCAGAGCCACTTTTACAATGGTTCATTTTGATTAGCTGTGGTGGCCATCTTCAATTTGTGGGACTCCAAAAGTTAAGTACTTGTAGAAGTACGTCTACTAATTACTTTCTAAAAGTTTCAATACAATCCGTCCACTGGTTCGTGCGATATTTTGCTAACAGACAAACAGAGTTGGTACCAATGGTCAAAACAAAAGTTTCAGGCAAATATCTTGTGCAGTGTAAATGTTTTAGCGTGTGTGGTTGGGATGACTTTCAGCTACGACTAGGTGAAACTTTAGCTCTGAATCTGAAAAAATTGACTGGGTTACAGCTATGTATGTGTTTTTAAAGATCACTTGGTTGTGCAACCATCTTTTATTGGTTTGACTCCAAACTATGAACATTTGTAGATGTATATTCAGAGATTATTTTCAATGAACTTTATTAAAATCCATTCAGTGGTTCATGAGATATTTTGCTAACAGACAGAGTTGACTGTAATAGTTTAGGACAAATCTGTAAAAACAGATCTCCTTCAGTCAGTTAGTGCTCAAAGGATGTGCTGGTGATGACCTTCGGCTACTACCACACTAAATAAGAGTGTAACGTTTGTCAAACTGGCTGAGTTATAGCCTTTTTTTATTGTGCTGGTAAGTTTGCTTATTTATGGTGACCATTTTAAATGGTGTTGAGATTTGTAGAGTCAGTGAGGTGAAGTTTCTGGGTGTCATCATTGATGAAAAGCTGACATGGAAACCTCACATAAATAATTTAAGAACAAAAACAGCTAAATCTACTGCAGTACAGTACAAAGTAAGAGAGTTACTCAATGATAAAGCACTGTTTATGTTGTATAATGCAATAATTGTCTCACACTTAATTTACTGTATTGAAGTCTGGGGGAAAGCATGTAAAACAATTACAAATACTATTTTTATTTTACATAAAAGAGAATTATCACTAGAAACGATTATAGCCATCCATCAAATACATTGTTTTATCAACTGAAGATATTAAAATTATATGACTTGGTTGATTATAATATTTTACTGTTTATGTATAAGGCTCACAAAAACATACTGCCTTCAAATATCCAAGTAAATTGTGTTAAAAGGGAGAGTGGTTATTGTCTCAAGGGGATAGAGATGTTTGTGAAGCGTTGGTTTCGTACCAGTTTGAAGGAGCGGCCCATTATAATTCAGGGAACAGGATTGTTTGTGGAATGGTCTGAAGGATGATGTTAAAACTGCCAGATCTATGTGCATATTTAAGAAAATGTTAAAAGTTAGTTTTCTGAAGGAATATGGAAACGTATAATGTGTATTTATACAAATTGTTTGAGCTGATGTTGTTTTTATTTGGCTTTGGTTTTTTTGTAAATTACTTTTGCTTGAATATATTCTGGGAAAAAGGGGCAGATATAAGATTTATTCTTCTTCTGCTGCCTTTCATTTTATTTTTTGATTGCATATATATATATATATATATATATATTGTTTTCTATTGTATATAGTCATTTTGTTTTTAATGAAACGAATACATTTCTAAATAAAAATAAATAAAATAATGGAGCTGACGCCAAAAGTTAATTAGCTGTAGATGTATAATCAATGATAACTTTCTTTAGGATCCACACATGAGATATTTTGCTAAAGCTGCAGAAACAAACTCACTGATGAGTTAAATGTTTATCTGTTCTCAGGTTTTCATCCATTTTTCCAGAAACTTCTCTCACCTTCCACGTTCATTCCTCATTAACCTTGTCCACGCTAATCTCCCTTAATGTGCGTTTCATTAGCTATCATCACAAGCCGTCGAGCTAACAGCTGAAGCTGTAAACCCAGCTTCATCCTGGCCTCTGAATCCTGGTTGACACCAGCTGGAGCTCAGGCCTCTGCTGCAGCTACCATAGTTTTCACACCCTCCTCCTCTTTCCGTCCTCTTCAGAGTTCACGTAGTGCGTGCGTGCATTCTGCAGGGTGTGACTGCAACTGTCTTGACGGCTGTGTATTATGCAACACAAACACTGGCTGCCATCACAACAGGCTGTCTTTGCTCGGGTTTCCACAGCAGCTCCGGTACATACATTCACGCTCCCGCTCACACCGGTGGGGTGTCTTTCAGCCCCTGTTGTGACGACCAGCGTCTCTGCTCCAAAACTGGCCCGCAGCTCGCCCCCAGAGAGCTGCGGCCATTTGTGAATCTCGACTCAGAGACGCTCACGTGTACGGAATATATAAAAACCCACTGAGCGTTGAGCCAAAGAGGGGCTTATAGATATACGCTGCACAAGACGAGCTACACAGATTGTTTCACTTGTGTGAAACAATATGTTGTGCGTGCTCTTTTGTTTCTATTTAAAAAGGAGACCGTTTTCACTCACATAATGCGATGTGAATTTTTCCAACGTGTAGATTTCAACGAAAGGCATCAGATGGGCATCTCCCAGAAAATTGTCAAACATGTGGACAAAACGTGAAAGCTGTTGCAGAGTTTCAGGAACAAAGTCTATGCTCAATAATCCAGGTATAAAAGTCAACATTTTTCATTCAGGTCATCTGGACAGTTTCTTGTTTTGTGCTGAAACGTTTCGCCTTCGATCCAGAAGGCTTCATCAGTCGAGGAAACACACAACAAAACTGATTCTTCCCCCAACAGCTTACTCCAAAGTGGAACAAACCAGTTCTGCTGGTGATAAGATGGTCTCTTTGTCACGCCCCCTCCTCCATTGCCGGCCCTCTTCCTTGTTGACAGTCGTGTCAAACTGGTTGAAAACAACAAAGTCCATGCTCCATAATCCAGGTATACAATCCAACATTTTTCAGTCAGGTCATCTGGACAGTTTCTGTTTTTGTGCTGAGTTTCAGGAGTTTTACTACGCTGTCAGTTGGAAATATGGGAGTTGGGGAGTCACGTTCTAATTTAGACATACTTTGGTTTTTCACTTTACAGCAGATATTACTGAGCACAGAGCAATTTATTAAAGCTTGTCTATTAAATGGTAAATGTGCTTTACAACACACTCTGTGTCCTCGTTTACCCATTCATACCGTACTTTACTACATCTGTATGAAGCTAATGTGAATACTGTATTTTTCAGACTATAAGACGCACTTAAAATCCTTTAATTTTCTCAAAAAATCGATAGTGAGCCTTATAATCCGGTGCGCCTCATGCATTAATTCTGGTTGTGCTTACTGACCTCGAACTGATTTTATGTGGTACACAGCGCTCAAAAATCTGTCAAAATGAACTTGTTTCACTTAATGCGCCTTATAATCCAGTGTGCCTTATAGATCACATTCATACCTCACAGGCAATGAGGGGTTCAGTGTCTCGCCCCGGGACTCTTCACTCTCGTTGGAGGACGACTGTTCTAGCCACTGAGCCACAGCTGAAACTAGCATTCGTTGGTAGCCCGGTGGTCCGTGCCACGATCTTGTAATCCTGAGGCTGAAGGTTTGCACTCAGGCTCACTGGGCCACAAGGGTCACTGTGGTGACCCCTGCCGAAGGGATCAGCCAAACAAACAATTCTTTGGAAAAAATGCATATCACATGCAACAAAGATTTGACAGTATCTGTTAGTGCACAAGAGTGTAAGTTGAGCATGACTCTCAGCTACTACCATACCAAGCTTTAGCTCAATATGTGTAAAACTGATTAGTTATACCTATTATGTGCTTGCTAATGTCAGTATGCTGTGGTGACCATCTTGAATCAGGTGGATTCCGAAAGTTAATGAAATGTAGATGTAAGTTCAGTGATTACGTTCTGAGATTTAAATTAAAATCCATCTAGCAGTTTACGCAGTATTTTGCCAACAAACAGATGGGGTAAGGGGGTGGTCGGTGTTTCCCCCCTGGCTTCCTGGTGTTGCTGGTGCCTTGAGTATTAAAGCTCTTTAATTGTTAAAACTTTGTTTAAACTTTCTGATTTCAGATGTAGATGTTTAATGTTGTGCTAAAATTAGCAAATCCTTATAATCAACTGATAAACCTTGGGCATTTAGTATAATTTCAGTATATAGTATTATTGTATGGTTATTTTTTGTAAAACTGAATTCAAATCACAACCATTGTTTCCCAGTGATGATGGTGTGGTTAGTGTCAAAAGGACATGAGACCATCTATAAACATGATCTTACGTAACCAGATGTTTAATAAAGTTAACAGTCGTCTTTGAATTAACCAGTGATCAAAACTATGAATGTACACTTTTAAAGTTTATATGGAGGAGGAGCACATTCTCTGCTTGACTAATTGTTAAATACTTTAAGACAAACTTGTTATTAGCTTGCATACAAATGTTAAATCACACATAGTGAACTTTAGTAACAGTGACTTCATTTCCACAAGTGGTGCAGTCAGAATGAGAATTAATTGTTGCAAGTTTTACAGTGACAAAGCAGGAAAACTAAAGTTGTCAGCGTGACATATTTGTTATACATGACAACATTTTTGGCTTACTTTCACGAGATTGGTGTTTTCAAAGTTGAGCAAACGTTTAGTTCCAGTTTGCTCGAGGCATAAATGTTTTCTGCAGCTGTCTCGTCTCACAGAAGAGCTGAAGATAAAAGGATAAAGAGTTGCAGAACAAAAGTGGGAACTTGTAACACACGTGCATGCCATCTGTTCATGGTGCTCTGATCTACAACATGGATTAATAATGTTACATTCGACAGGCTACAGAAAATCTGTTTGCTGTGTGTTCATCAGAAGGGCGAGGAATACGGGCGCCCCCTGGTGGATACTTGGTGTTACTGCATGTCAGGAAAGAGGAAACAACTCAGGTCTGTCTGTCTGTCTGTCTGTCTGTCTGTCTGTCTGTCTGTCCGTCCGTCCGTCCGTCCGTCCGTCCGTCCGTCCGTCTGTCTGTCTGTCTGTCTGTCTGTCTGTCTGTCTGTCTGTCTGTCTGTCTGTCCGTCCGTCCGTCCGTCCGTCTGTCTGTCTGTCTGTCTGTCTGTCTGTCCGTCTGTCTGTCCGTCTGTCAGTCTGTCTGAGCACGTAAAAGTATTTTAAGGCCACAAATCACATCAAAACCTAATATTAAATAAACTACAAAAGTTATCTACATCATATCCAGTTCACAGCATTATTAAAGAATAAAACAAAACATTTTTTACTCAAAATATTTTATGAATTTCTTCTTAAAAACAGCAAACATGACACTTTAAAAACTGTCCGCATTTTTCTTTGTTTATTATCTCATTAATGTAGGATGGATGATTTTTAAGGATGCCTATTTCTGCCACTTTTATAAAAAATAGTTCATACTTAGACGACGCAGTCATAATTTTTACATAGTATTGCACATGTTATAAAATTATGACAGCGTGTTAAGGCCTAATTTTGAGCATATATTACATAGTTGTGACTTAACAGCTCATATTTATGCAATACTATGTTAAACATATGACCTGACAGCTCGTCTTTATGAGATATTTTCTCGAAATTATGCCTCAGTACCCAATTATTATGAGCTGCTGTCAAAATGATAAGATATGTTATTTTATGTTGTTTATTTGTCATGCAGGTTAACACGGGGTCAACAGTGCAATGAAATGTTCAGGAGGAGAAGAACCGATTCGACTCGCTAAACACAAGCAAACAAAACAAACAAGAATTACTAAAGCATGCAATAAGGGTACAAAATAAAGTACCAAAAAGTGAAAAATAAATATAATATTTACAAGATCCAAAACAAATATAGTAAACAACAACATGGTAGAATATAACAGTGCAGGTATTTGTAAGAATAAGTGCTTTAATACGTATATTGCACATAAATAACATTGCTAATGAATAAGAAATTACAAGTCAGGATTTTTACATAGATTCAAATAATTTTTCCATACTATGTCGGGGTTTTACGATAATATCATATTTTTTATTGAGTCTTTTTTTTTTATGGGCTTCCATATTTTGCATCGTCTGCTAGACAAACATAAACAATAAATAAATAGAATATGAGCGACTTTAAAGCTTAAACACATTCCTGTTTTATGGAAGCTAACAATAAAGATTCATTACGTTATCTTGCGCATGTTTTTCTTTCGGGACTTGAATTTTGTTGTGGTGGGGGGGCACTTAATTATTCATGAGTCCTCCTTCCATGGCAGGGAAACACAGCGAGCAGGGGGTGCGGCTCTTCCTGTAGGCGAGAACGGAACCGGAAATTCGGCCATCTCCTCGTACATCCAGGCTACAACAGGGTCAGTATTCTTCTCATTTAGCTGTTTGTCGTGTCACGCTGTCAACATTTAGTGGCGTTTTGCCATTCTGAGCGAGTCTAGTCACCGCCGTCCTGGAGCAGGACGCGTCCTCCGCCGTCCGGTCCTCGTAAAGTCCAGAACTAGCATCAGAAGCTAGCTAGCTAGCAGGAAGTGATTTCTTTATTAGTCAAAACAGGCTGGTAACCTTCGTATCTAGTCTGGAACTACTGTTATGACGGGGGCAGCTCTTTAGCATTCAGTGGCTGGCTTATTTGTGTGAAGTCGTACATTTTCTATCTCCCTCACGACTATTATTATTATTTTTAGACTTCCTAGAGCACTGTGGCAAACTCTGCTAGTCAACAGTTTCGATTAGTTGTTTGCTATGTGGCTAACGCGTTAGCTTCTAAATGACAGCTGCGGTTAGTTGGGTAGTTTCTTTCCGTCGCACAGTCAGGCTCCTGAACACAGCACAGGTGTATAGCTGGTTTAGTAAATGCTAACATTTTGTTAGCATGCCAACCTGATAGGTGTGACACAAAGTGTGTTTGAGTAACGGTTGTTTGCCTTATCTGGGCGGACGTGCCTCCTTTAACGGCGTCAACCAGATGTGAGTTTAACTCCAGGAGAAATGAAGCAGTTTAGCTTTCTCGCTAACTTTTGCCATTCATCGCTAGCATCTATAACATTTAAATGACAGGAACCTTACAGAGTTGCATCATATTTAACTGATGCACGTGTTCATATGTATATTTGTATCTTTAATTTGCTTACTGACAGTTTCTTATACAACTACCAGGAAGCTGCCACTCTTCTGTGCCCACTGTAGTTCAGAAAAGTAATCCAGCTCAAGTACAACGTGTGCTTGCACTTTGCCCAGAGACTTGGCCCAAGGTGATGAAAGCTGAAGCACAGTCACCGCTGAGTGAGATCCAGGGAAGTGTCAGGACCGAGCCATGACATACCAGATTGCAGAGGTTTGAAAGACTTTTTAGTAGAGACAGATTCAAGGAATGTAGTGCTTTAAGAATATGATGATGGATATAGATCACAGCTCAGGGCATTGCTTGGAAAGTGAAGGAGGAGGTGCTGCTTTCAGTAAGGATAGTCATTCATGAACTTTAAACCCTGCTATTAATTTAACAAGCTAGATTATGGCATCACTCTTGACTCTTGCTTGCCATGAGATATCTTCGTAAGACATCTGAGGGTCATAAATACTTGTGATATGAAGATGTGTGCATTGTAGATGCAAGCAGCACAGTTGAAATGTCATTAAAGAAACCTGATAGAGATTATGTGTCCGCTCTAAACTTTCTCCCAGAGCTTTAAAAGTCTCTGAACTGACTCTTGTAATGAAATATTTACAGTAAGTTCAGGAATGTGGGGGCTTCCTCATATTTGCATGAAATATGGCATGCAAGGCTGATTTAACAGCCCTAAAGGTTTTAATTGTAATTATTAGTTTTTTTGCCCTTGTCGTATTGATATCTTTACCTGATTTTTACTGATGCCAGTGCTTATAAATGAAAATATTTAAACTAACTGCGGAGACGCACGGGCCTAATTTGGTCGCACCGACTAATTATGTTTGTTACGGCTTTGTCAGAGTTTCAGACAATTAATTGCATGCGTTATTACACTTATTTACTGGAAAAAATAAGAAAGCTACTGTATTTCATCAATTGCTGTAGTTATTCTGCTCTTCTTGTGTAAGATCTCCAAAATAAAATGTAAGTAGAAATCAATTTAAAGTTATTTGGATCACACAAACCGTAAGACAATAGTAACAATAGTGAGTTAGATGCAAATTTGGCCATATTAATCTTATTTATACATGATTGTGCATTTGCATTAAATAAAAAAATGAATGTTTATCTTCAGTGTAGCATTTCTATCTTGTTACTAAGGATTCAAACTTGACTGAATACTTACATTTATCTCCAGTATTTTAATCTCTAGCTTCAAATATTATGTAACTGTGACTGCTGGTATGTTTAAATGTATACAATGTGTAAAACATACAACACACATCTATAAATGCATAGTTTGTTTAGTGCCGATGTGTCAGTGCATAAAACATTAAAGTTTTCTTTAGATTGCGGTGGTAGAAAAAGAGCAGCGTCGTGTCTCAGTTACCCGTCGAGGCTAATTTGTGCAAGTGTTTGTTTAGTGATTAAAACAAACTGATCTTTTTCTCAGAATTATTATTTTATTGTCTTTTCCATTTAAAAAAACAAATCAGGTGAAATTCCTTTTTCTTGGTTAAACGCGATTATTTTTGCATTATTGCATCTGAATAAATTATCCATCTTTAACAAAAAACTGCAAACTGCTTTGATCTTTTTTTAATTATTTTTTTATTTTATATTTTGCTTTATTAAAACAAAACACTCCTAAAGGTTCTCAATTGATCTCACAAATATCTTTTTCATTCATTCAACCCTTTATTTATAGCCTCATCGAGCCCCGGGGACTCATTTACAAGAGGGACCTGTTTATGTACAGTCAAATAAAAACATTAAGTGAATCTATAGAGAGCTTTTGTTGTTTATTGCATTCTTGTTTTGTTTTTTGGCTTAGCTCGCGGCGCCATCTGTTTGGTGTGAAAACGCAGTTTTGGACAGTGAAAGGATACATCTGGTCAGCAACAGTTGTCCAACCTGCTGTGTAAGCAATATCTAACACAATGTTCAGGAGGCACTGCCAAAACTCTTACTATGCTTTTAAAATGATAAATAATGATTTCCTGCTAATAAACCTAAAATAAATAGGAAGAGTTACTAATCTGGAGTGATAAAAACATATATGAAAGTGTTTTTTAGTGGTGACTTCTTTTTAAATAATCCATGCCTCTGATGTGAAGGCTCACTGTTTCTGTGGACTCCTAGATGTTTGATAAACTGTAAATGCAGTGATAAGGAATATTATATGACTCAGAGTTAAATAAATACAGACATGCCCTTGGCAACAGAGTTCAAAGTTCAGTTTATGCTCAGAAGGCACGTAATATGTAGTGTTGTGTAATTCTACTTTACTGAAAAGCTGCACATGTCCCGGAATAGATATCATCATCATCAACTTTATTTATAAAGCGTTTTAACACAGCCACAGCTGAAACAAAGTGCTGAACATCAGTTAAAAACAAGATTTAAAAAAAAAAAAAAAGCATAAAAACAAAGCTGCCAAGCACACAATGAACTAAAAACTCAATTTAAAACATAATAAAACCGATCAAATCAATAGCAAAAATGAAGTAAAATCAAGTCTCGGTTGGGATGAAGGCCAACGAGTAGAGATGAGTTTTCAGACGGGATTTAAACATGGACAGCGAGGGGGCCTGTCGAACGTGCAAATATGTGTTTGTAAATTTATGAACCACGTGTATTTATTTTTATGTCTCGTGAGGCTTTACCTGTTTTGATTTGTCTAAAGCTTTTTTTAATAAGAGTTTTATTTGTTGTTTGTATATAAAAAAAAAAGGATTTTTTTTTTATTATTATTTCACAACCTGAGAAACAACAAGTATATAAGGTTTTGGAGAGATTCCATTTGTGATGTTCCTTTTTTTTATATTATTGTTTCTGATTTCAACATTTAATTATAAAAGTAGCTCAATGATTGAGTCAGTTAATAAAGTGTGCTGGTTTATGATGTGTAATCTGTTCTACAGCAAAATAAATTAGTAAAACTTGTAGTTAACTAAAATGTGACATTGTGAGCCGATCGATGTCCATCCATCCATTATCTTTACCCGCTTCTTCCTTTTTGGGTCGCGGGGGTCACTGGTGACGATGTCCAGCTATCACTGTGCAAGAGGCGGGGGACACCCTGACCTGGACAGGTCTCAAGTCCATCACAGGGACACATAGAGACAAACAAGACAAACAACCAGTCACTCTCTCACTCACACCTAGGGACAATTTAGAGTTACCAGTCAGCCTAACATGCATGTTTTTGGTCTGTGGGAGGAAACTGGAGTACCCAGAGAAAACCCACGCATGCACGGAGAGAACATGCAAACTCCATCCGGGAAGGAGTAAAATATCAGCCACGTGTGGGTCAGCACCAGATCATGTGGTGTTTCGAAACTGAATATGTGCTTTGTATTTAAAACGATCGCTCTGAACTCGGTTGTTGCATAAGATTCAGCCTGTTCTGTGAAAATGTGCAGCGTCTCGATTTTTAACAGCATCCTCAATCTTTTCCTACAGTTTCCATCCACCTGCATCTGTGCTTTTCAGACCCAATGTTGCCACGGGAAGAACGAGACAAACTGACACGCAGGAGTCCATGACTGAGTGAAGGACGAGAGAAAGAGAGACGGAGCACTGGGGGGACAAGAATCTTATTCTGAATCATTCTTGAGTAATAGATGTATGTGAAACAGGCTTTACTTTTCTAATAATCCATCAAGTTACAATTTAAGGCAGACTTTAAAAAAAAAAAGCCGTCTTTCACTGTATGCTATCTTCTTTTTGTATTATCAGGGTCTCTTTTTTTTTTTTGTATCTTTTTCACATCCACATCTCCTCCAGTCTTATTTTTTTCTCCTGTTTTGCTTTATTAATCAAAATGTGTTGGAAATATATTCTGTATAATTGCACATATGATTTAAATCTATATAGCCTTGAATCTCCATCTGCTCAGATTTCAACAGAACTCCGTGGCCAGACAGTTGCCATGTCGACCTCATCGCTACGGCGACAAGTAAAGAACATCGTCCACAACTATTCAGAAGCGGAAATCAAGGTCTTTCTTTCATTTTATTCGTTTTCTTCTCAGTTTTGTCAAATTCTGCATTTTCTCAGTCTTGACTCTTCACATGTTGATCTTAAATCTCTGCAACACTGCAGTGCTTTTGTATAATTAAAGTAATCTTAAATGTTACATTTTCTTTTTTTCTAGCCTGTACCACGAGTTTACAGTTTTCACTCTGAAAAGTTTTTTTGCTTCAAAATGACTCTTATCACAAAGGCCTTGAATGAAAGGTTATCCCCAACAGGTTAGAGAGGCAACGTCCAACGACCCATGGGGTCCCAGCAGTTCTCTTATGTCAGAGATTGCAGATCTGACCTACAACGTTGTGGCCTTCTCAGAAATCATGAGCATGGTGTGGAAGCGACTCAATGACCATGGAAAGAACTGGAGACATGTGTACAAGGTGTGCAGTTTATCTTTAAGTTGGGATGATCTCACTTCTTGTGAGACTCAGTGTACAAGACCACAAACTTTCATGATATTAAACTTAAAATTGTAACAATCTTCTGACTCTGGGCTCATACTGTATGTTACACAATTCCTTTTTTTAAAATGTCCACATTTAATCAGCTGGGTCTGCTCTGAATCGTCTGCTAAAAATTCTCATATTTGTATTTTAATTCAAAAACCAATACACTGTTACAACTCTAGTGGGTCTTTCAGGGAGATTGGGACTGAATAATTACAAAGTTTCTATAAAAATTGAATTTATTGCAAATTTTACAGAGACAGTTTTTTTTTTTTTTTTAATAAAGATAAAATTATAAATGTCTCATTGTCAGTTGTCACTCTACTAGTGGGAATTTACTTGGAAATTATAGAAAAATGTGCAAACAAATTTAATTTTTATTTATTTTTGCTCTCGCATAGTCCAGCATTTTCCTACAGTAAGTCATTTTTATGCTTTTTTTTTTTTTTTTTTTTTTTCTCCCCCATCAGGCTATGACTCTTATGGAGTACCTGATTAAGACGGGATCAGAACGTGTTGCACAACAGTGTCGAGAGAACATCTACGCAGTCCAAACCCTCAAGGATTTCCAGTACATAGACAGAGATGGCAAAGATCAGGTACACACACAAGCCCATGCTAACAAAAAACTGAGCAGAGCAGAAATCTTTAATAAGTTCTGTCCATATTTGGGTTATGCAGGAACACTGTTCCAACTCTTTGAATGAACTTCAAGCAGTAAGATCAACAAAGTGTTTCTGACCTTTTGCACAAAGCCAATGGTTGGCTAATGATAAATGAAGTGTGCAAAGTTAATAAGTTAAGCTAACAGTGAGATTTATAGTGTAACTACAGTGGTGTGCAAAACGTGATATATATATATTAATAAATTAATATTTAAATTTTTATATATATATATATATATATAACTTTTAAAATTTGATTGTTTTTTTAGCTATAGTTCTGCAGGTTTTTTATACTATAGGGCTAAACTATTTGCAGCAGTTGAATTCTATATAAAATAGTTAAAGAAAATTGAATTGTGTTAGCTATAAAGAATAACTTTGCTATGCGTAAACACAAGACTGGTTTAGTCCTTGATTTATTAATTGGTTCAGAACCTCTTGAATGAGTCATTGGTTCATGTTGAGTGTCTAAAAAACAACAACATAACTCCTTTCTGTAAAAATGGGCAGGAGGTACAGGTACTTGATTAAAACAGAGAATGAGAAAACCATACCAAACACTTATCTAACAACAAACTAACTTGGAAAACGTTTTCAGAAACAAGTAAGGTACATGTGGTCAGACTGCGGCGCTTGGACCGTCTTTGTCTTTATAATGGGGCAGGTAAATGTTGCCATGTTTCAATTCGATGTATTACCATGTTTTTTTTATAAACAAATCAAATGGCCCCTCTGCAAAAGTGGTGGAGGAGTTTGAGTACCCCTGTGATCCTGGGGGGTATGTTGTCGGGGGACTTAGCTGCTGGAGGGCAGGGTCTCCCATGGCAAACATGCCTGCAGAGAGGGGGGTTATCAGACTAAGAGTGATTCAAAACCTTGATGAAAAACAACAAATCTAGGACCCACCACCTGCGGGAAGGTCAGTCGAGGTTGGGTGATGTACCGGTACATGCTGGCGGCAGTCAAGGGAGGATCCCTGGCCATGCCAATTCCTGGCGGCCATGTCTCTCTGCAGCTTCGGGCTGCAGGAGGGAAGGTTCTGATTGTTGTTTGTGCTGATGCACCAAACATCAGTTCACATTACCTGGCCTTTCTGGAGTGTCAGGATGGTGAAAAATCAATTCATCCCTGTAGTGATCAGGCTTCTCAGTGAACATTGATCATTGATGACTTCTGTATTGTTGTATTAACATCTTGATGTCTTGTGTAGTATGGATGTTTTATATCTCTACTGACTGTGAAACACATTGCCCCTCAGGTATAATAAAGATACTTGAACTTGGTGTCCTGGAATGAGTGTCATCTTGGTATTCCCTTGTTCTACTGGGTGACTTTAATGCCCATGTGGTCAATGACGGAGTCAGCCTGATGATTGGGAGAAATGGCCTCGCTGATCTGAACCTGAACGGTGTTCACTTATTGTATTTCTGTGCTATGCATGGCTTGTTCATAATGAACACCATGTTTTAGCATAGGATGGTTCATAAAGCCGCTTTGCCATTTATAGGTGTAAGCCCACTTGGCTCTCATTTTATCAGTTCTTCTCAGGTGTAGGTGATTTGCCACTAGCTATGTTTACATGCGCAGAATTCTTTGACCCCCCACCATGTGCTCCCTAAAAAAAAAAAAAAACAGGTCTCTCTTGAAAATGAGTTCTCGTGGCTCAATGAGACTAACCTGGATAAATAAAGGCTAAATGAAAAAAAAAAAAAAAGTGTTCTGTTTGAATAATTCAAATGTATTGTTTACATGGGCACAATCTGTTCATGACGAGCGTTTACATGCAGCGGGCTTTGTTCTGAACAGCAGTACTGACATGCGCAGAGTGGTAAACTCTCCTTAAAAAACACAGAAGAAGTTCTACTTCCGGGTGAACGTAAACAAACCTGAGCACCCAAAATGGACCCGCGACAGGTTTTAATGATGGTGGAGACGTTACTGACTCCCTGACTGAGCTACAGGTGATGCAGATCATTTTGAGCGCTTTCAAAGTTTCTAGTAAAAATGTTGTGTCGCTCACCGACCAGTTTTGCTTCCCTGACATGCTAATATTATTAGCATTAGCCAGGCGGAAATGGCAAAGTCGCACATGCGCAGTCAGGTCAGTTTTTCACGATCAGATAAAAACGAACAGATCAAGTGTTTACATGCGCACCGATCGGGTTACGGATCGGCGTAAACCACCCGTTTCGTTCTGATCACAAATTATATCGGATCGCGCCGAATACACAAAAAATAACCCGAACGGAGTGTTTACATGACACACTTTTATTCAGACCGTCCATTTGATCCGGTTACTTATGTCCATGTAAACATACCCACTGTGACTTGATTCCCTGCTCTGTGGGTGAAATTGTCAATGCAAAGTGAGCGGTATTGAAACAGGTCATTGTGATCAAGCCACTCCTCCCATTATGGTCCTTAATCACCCTATAATCTGACTTCAAATATTTTTTTAGCTTATCCTGGCACTGGTTTTAAATCTGAGTGTAATCATGCTGCGCCATCATCTCCAACATCTCTGAAATGCACTCATTTTTTGTGACGCTGTCCATCAACACAATTCAAGAGGAAATCAAGGTTCATATGTAGTTTTCAGTTTTGCTGGGTCATCAAGTGACATAGTTCCACTGGACTGTCAACGGCTGCTGTTTGCTTACGTCAAAATCGGCACCTTGGAGCAGTCCTCTAGGAATCTCAAACAAGATGGTCTCTTAAACTGGGCTGAGTGGGGGTGGGTACTGACAGCGGGCCGGCCTTTTAACTAGTGCGGTGTGAATCGATGAGAGTTGAGACAGTGGCAAAGTGACATAAGTGTAATTTGTATCAGGTCACCTTAGGCCAAAAGTTGATGATTGATTTTGTAATCGTCCCATCAGACTTGCAGTCCTATGTCTTGAACATTCATGTGGAGGGGTAGAGCTGTCAACTGATCACGACCTGGTGGTGAGTTGGATCCAGTGGCGGGGGCAGCTGCCAGACAGACCTGGCAAACCCAAATGCATAGTGAGGGTGAAATGGTAACATCTGGTGGAGCCCTTCGTTCGTGCAGCTTCAGCTCACACTTCCGGGAGAATTTTTCACATGTCCCGGTGGAGGTCAGTGACATGGAATCTGAATGGGCCACTATAGCAGATGCAGCTCCCAGAAGCTGTGGCCTGAAGGTCATTGATGCCTACCGGGGTGGCAACCAAAGTTCCCGTTGGTAGATGGAGGCAGTCAAGCTAAAGAAGGCCTTCAAGACTTGGTTGTCTCATAGGACTCCTGAAGTAGCTGACAGGTACAGGGTCGCCATAAAGTTCTGCGGCTTCAGTGGTTGCATATGCAAAAACTCAGGCATGAGAGGAATTCGTGGAGGCCATGGAGAAGGTCTTTTGTTTGGCATCAAGGAAGTTCTGGCAATCCATTTGGCGACTCAGAAAAGGAAAGTGGGCTCCTTCCCAGGCTGTACTTGGTTTTGGTGGGGAACTGCTGCTGAACTGCACTGAAAGGAGCACTTCAAGCTCCTTAATCCACCCACCATGTCCACCTTTGAGGAAGCAGAGTCTAAAGACTTGGGGGAAGGCAAGTCCATTACCATGGCAGAGGTCATTGAGGTAGTCAAAAAGCTCCTCAGTGGCAGGACGCTAGGGGTGGATGGGAAAGGCCCTGGATGTTGTGGGGCTGTCATGGTTGACACTTCTCTTCAATGTCGCAAGAAGAACTGGGACAATGCCAAGGCCTTAATCATGCATTGGGGCAGTTCGCAGCTGAGTGTGAAGCAGCTGGAATGAGAGTCAGTTCCTCTAAAGGCTGATGTTTTAACTTCCAGTCTCACCAGGATAATCACTGTGAAAAATCACATCATGTTGCTGCTGATCTGTTTCATGTTGCTGTGTTTATTTGTGCCCATCTGCTCACATAGACTCATGTTCGTGCTGCTGTTCGGCGTATTGTTTTTATGCTATTAGTGCTTAGTGTATACTTAGTTGATGTTTTTCTTAGTTCATATCTTAGATCTTATTACTGTTTTTATTTTACGTTTTATTGTGGGATGTAACTGGGACCCTGTGTACATAATCTCGTTCCACCACATGTGGTGCGTATGACAATATAGAACCTGACTCTGACATTGCGCTTATATGGGTTCCTCAGGTGGATGAGTTCAAGTTTCTGGGCATTTTGTCTTTTTCATGTATAATGGTAGGATGGAGTGGGAGATGGACTGTCAGATTGGGGCCTTGTCCTCAGTAATAAGGAAGTTACTTTGGTCAGTCGTGATGAAAAAAGAGCTGATTTGAAAGGCGAAATTCTCAGTTTACTGGTCTGTCAGTCTACGTTCTGACCCTCACCTATGGTTACGAGGTTTGGATCATGACCAAAAGAACAAGATCGCAGATACAAGTAGCCAAAATGGGCTTCCTTCGTAGGGTGGCGATGGCAAGCCTTAGCCTTAGAGATAGTGTGAGGAGCACCGTCATCCGGAGGGTACTTGGAGTAGAGCTGCTGCTCCTCCGCATCGAAAGGAGTCAGTTGAGGTGGTTTGGGCATCTGATTAGGATGCCTCCTGGGCGCCTCTCTGTAGAGGATTTCTGGGCACGTCCCACTGGTAATAGGCCCTGGGGAAGACCCAGAAGTTGCTGGAGGGAATGTTTATCTTCTCAAGCCTGTGAATGCCTCGGAGCCCCCCAGGATGAGTTGGAAAGTGTCACTGAGGAGAGGGACGTCTGGGTTTCTCTCCTGGACCTGATGCCTCTGTGACCTGATTTTAGATAGGTGGTAAAAGATGGATATGGAGATTCAAAATGGTCCTCTGTAATAAAATCTAACCCAACCCTGATATAGGACTGTAGCCCCAGACCACTTTAAAAGATTGAAAGGAAGTCTGGCTCCTTTGATGCCAAAAATAAAAATGGGAGGTATCATTGAAGATTTTTGAATAGGGGATGGGATATTTGGCTCTTTGATGAAAGTTGGATCTGGAAGATCTGTTCCTTTCAAAAAAGATGTTCAGTTTTGAACAGTAGTGACGTCATTGCATACGACTTGAATAGTGACTTAAGACGTAAGGGCTGGACTACGTGCACAACCCCCCATCCTGAGTGCACAAAATGGCTTACAGTTGTCTGCGACTCAGTTCCTATTGTTCACTTTAAAGAGTTGTTCAAAAGATCCAGACCATCCGTGAACATCACATCTCTACTTTTGCACAATGCATAATTATTTAATTGTTCATATAAGAATGCAGTTATGCATTTAGATGTATGGTATTTGTTTTAGAAAAAGACCACCCTTAAGGGTTCAACAATTGTTTTTTTTTAAATTTATATATATATATATTTTAAGGGTTTGAATGTTCGAGAGAAAGCTAAACAGCTGGTGACGTTGTTGAAAGATGAAGAAAAGCTAAGAGAGGAGAGGATCCATGCTCTCAAAACCAAAGAGAAAATGGCACAGACCACCAGTGGTGAGATGTTTGCATGAAACACCAGTAATCCAGGAGCTTGGAAAAACAAAAGCACATTTATTTCATCTCTGTATGTTTGTCTCTACTCCAGCCTCCTCAGCCCCATCGGCGCCCAGCATGGGGGGCAGCCTATCACTGGGCTCACATTCTTTAGGGGCGGACCCTGATCAGGCGTGGCCACAGAGCTCCGGAGAGGAAGACCTGCAGCTTCAGCTGGCTTTGGCCATGAGTAAAGAAGAGGCAGAGCAGGTATTTCCAAGTCTCAGAGCTAGTTCACAGCATGCTTCATTTAACCCTCCTGCTGCCATTGGGTCAAAATAACCCACAAGACCTCCGTTTTGAAGACTGAGGCCTTGAGGGTCATTTTGACTCAAGGGCAGCAGGAGGGTTAGGCTACACTTCTAGTTTAGATGTCCTGCAGCAGCAGCATACACAGAGGCACATTCAATATATTCTTTGCTGCTGCAGTCCACCTAGCTTTGCTCTCATCATTTAACCACTGACCTCCCCCAGAATAGCGCGGACCCTCTGGAGGATGCAGAGCTTCGCTATGCAATCACACTCAGCCAAGAGCTGCACCAAAAGGTCAGGGACAGAGTGTGTTCAGCTGATTGGAGAGCTGTCATCAACGATCTGTTTTTCTGTCAATTGGAATTACTCCAGTGCATACCAAATATGGATTAATCAATCAAATTAATTTGTGCTCCTATTTGTCTTCTGGAACTTTCCTACTTGCATAAAACTGCACTAACTCTGTTGAGATCATTCAGTCTGCTGTTGCTTGTCCCGTTCTTTTACGTTTGCACTCGTCTGTTGTGGAAAGATGTGCTTCTTATTTGCTTACCAAATTCCAAAAGAACTGATTTACTTTAATCTAACTGAATAATTAAATTTAGCATGGTATATCAAATACTTTCCATAATAATATGCAATGAGTGTGTTGTAAGTATTGATTATTCTTTCCGCCCTCTTTGCACTTTCTTATAGCATACATTTAACAGTATTGATTTAAACTCTGCTTCCTTACAGCATTCCCCTGCTGTGATCATTTTATTGTGGTGTGTTTGCAGAGTGCAAAACTTGTTTTCAAGTGGTTACAATCATTGAATCAACTGTACTACTGGACTGGTTTAGTTTATAAATGATCAAATGAGAGGATGACATGGTTATTTTTGTTCAGAAGTTTCAGATGCAGTTAGACTGTTGTTGGACAGAACATCTAATACTGTTGTATAAAAGATGGCATTAGGCTGAAATGATTTGAGCTCATCTGCAAAAATCAGGATAGTTTTTTTTTTATTATTACAAAATTTTACAAAATTTTGAGGTAATGGATAATCAGAATAAATGTAACACTTCCCCTCTCAAATACGGGTTTGTGTTAAGCATTTCCTGCTACATCAGTTTCTGGTTTTAGGTTTATTTTTAGTAGCTGTGTGGCAGGTTTTTGGATTTGGTGGTAAAACAGCATTAAAATATGCAACTCATTTTGACCTTCTGATTTTCTCAAGTACTGTATAATTTAGTGATGTTTTTATTGTGTGAAGTCTAAAAAAGTGGATTGTAATCAATAATTGACTTTTCTGTATCATTTTCTCCTGCTGAGACCTTTATTGTCCAGTGGTACACTGATCTATGCCTGGGGTGGGTCCTTTATGTTTGTGTTACACGTCTCTGACACCCATGTGTGTGTGCGTGTGTGTGTTTGGCAGGAGGAGCGGCTGCGCAGAGGTGACGATCTGAGACTGCAGATGGCCATCGAGGAGAGCAAGAGGGAGAAACCCAAAGCAGAGGAGGTTTGGATCTTGTTTATTTCTCCTCATAATAAAATCATCTGTCCTTCATGAGCAATAATTCATTATATTTCTTATACAGAGCGCTCTGATGGAGCTGAGTGCTGCGGACCCCTGGGGGGCCCCTGCCACCGTTACTGTGAGCTCCGCCGGCCCCTCACCTCCACTCACAGTTCCTGGCCCCGCGTCCTCCGAGCCGTGGGGTGCAGCGCCCACAGACCCATGGGGGGTAGCGTCGCCCACATCCCCGACAAGCTCCGATCCCTGGGGAGGCGGAGCCCCGCCCACTATAGCCCCTCCTCCCGACCCCTGGGGAGAGACTTCAAACAAAGTCAACAACGTGGACCCCTGGGGAGACTCAGGTAAGCCGCCTCAGCTTCTAATGTCAAAGCAGTCAGGTGGGTTGTTTGGCTGAAAGAGGACGTAAATGCCTCGACCTTTACTCCTCCTCATTCCTCAGTTCCCTATCCTGTCTCTAAAACAGCCTTCATTCATATCAGCCATGCTGTCATTTGATCTTCTCATCCACCGACATGCTTTCGTTTTGAAACAAGGAAAGCAGCATGTTCAGTCCATTCAACCATTCTCCTAATGTGTCTTAAGATTTGTATCCTCTTGTTTCTACTCAGGACTGGCTGTGTCTCAACCAGAGCTGTTTCTTCTGTTGCCCTTTCATACCTTTATTTTAATGCTTGCTGTTACTACTTATCTCTCCTTTACCTCCACTGAGCTTCAGATGTTCAATGGGTCCAAGAGATTTGGTGGACATCCTGTCTTCTGTCCTCACTTGTAAAGTTAGTAACATGGGCGAGGTTAAGGAGAGAGAAAGGCCACTGTTTGAACCCAGTCCAGCTTCCTGCTTCCTCCTTACTGTGGGTTGTACCTGTAAGGTGTTGTGTTAACCCTCCCCTCCCCTGCATCTCCCCTCCCCTCCCCCTGTAGCTGTGACCCCCCCCAGTGCTGACCCCTGGGGCTCCCCAGTGCCACCCAGCACGTCCTCCTCGGGGGGACCGGTAGATCCTTGGGCAGGGGAGGGGTCCATCCCTGCCTCTGACCCTGTCTCCTCCGACATCTGGAGTGGCACCGCCAAACATACTAACGGCACAGGTACATTCACACTGAAAGCTTCATGGATTAACAAACACTGAGGTACCGACACGTGCTGTAGATTTTATTTTAAATAACTGACAGAGTTTCAGTCACGTTGCTCAACAGTTGTCCTGTCCGACATTTCATCCTTCTGTAGTACGTGCAAGTAAACTGCGCTACGTTCCTGTTCCTTCATTAAACTGTGTTTTGTTCCGTGTACCGCCCTCCTTCCTTCTCTTGTAGGAGATCCAGAGAGGCGAGGGTCTTCAGCAGCAAGGGTTGACAGCATGGGCTCACCGGTGCCCTTTGACCTGTCGTCTCTCGGTTCTTCGCTTCCCATTCGGAAAACTCCCGAGTCCTTCCTCGGCCCCAACGCAGCACTCGTTGACCTCGATTCCCTGGTGTCGTCGAAACCCAAACCCAAGCAGCAGCCGCCTCCTTCCATCTCTTCCTCTTCAACAAACAACCCCTTCCTTCAGAACACAGGTATGAGACAGCAGCACCAAATAAGGCTAAACCTTTCTTTTTTTTGACTCTTGTTAAAATCTTGGAAATTTTACAGCTAGCCATAGAAAGTATAAAGTGACATTAAAGCCTAAAAAGCATTACAGCTTTAAGCAGGAACAGTAGTTGGTTAAGTTCACTCTTAAAGGATCTAATCCAGGGGTGTCAAACTCACTTACAAAAGGGGGCCAAAATTAAAACATTTTTCAAATTAAGAGTCAATTTCAGAAACAACTTTAACTCAAGTCAGAAACCCAACGTCTTTTCTTGATCACAGGTTCCTCAACAAGAGTTTGATTGGTCTCATTTGATGTTCTCTGTTGTGCTTTTGACATAATAATCAAAGATTACTGAAACAAATTCAAGACATAGAAGTATTTTACGTTTCACATATCATCTTGGGGGCCAGATAAGATGTCAACGAGGGCCACATTTGGCCCCCGGGCCTTGAGTTTGACACATACGATTTAATCAAACACTTTCAATCTAACACATTTTTTTTACAAATGTTCTGGTGATGCAGAGACAGCAGATACTTGGTTTCTTGATCTACTCAAGTGTTTCTCAAATGAAGCATTCAAAAGAAACAAAAACAAAATAACCCACTTTTTATCAAAGGTTATGTTGAAGCAGTAATACATTTAGAAGCATGCATGTAACCTTTTATATTATATATAAAAAATGGGTGTTTAACTGATAATCATGAACATTGTTAAAAAAAAGGTTTTATTCCACTGTATGACTCCAAATATAATAGATGGTTGATTACCTGTTTACTACATTGTTTAAAAAAATCTATTTTGGATGCATATTAGCAGATGAGACTGAAGCTTTACATTAAATTTAAAACATCTGAAATGCTTGTTTCTGATCATTTTGCGTCATGTATGTCTTGTATTGATTTTTCTTTTAATAAAAATTTTATTAAAGAATATTGTGAACATTGTAACTTAAATTGGGACCCTTGTTTTTCTGAACTGCAGGCTCGTCTCCTGCTCCTGGCATGGCCGTGACTCCAGGCAGTACAATTTCCAGCAGGGGGGTTTCTCCGACACCTGCGTCCTCCAACCCTTTCGGCGTGGCCCCTGCCATGAGCTCCATCTCACCTCAGCCATCATCTTTAGGCCTGAGTGGCCTGCGCTCCAGTCCTGTGCCTCCTAACCCCATGCTGGGCATGGTTCAACCAGGAATGGGCATGGGGCCGATGAGCGTGGGAATGGGGGCTCCTGGAATGGGCCTGGGCATGACGCAGGCCAGCCCCATGGGAATGCCCTTCAGCAGGCTCTCCCCAATGGGACCCCCAGGCTCCACTTTTATGGGACCAGGAGGCATGCCGCCCCCTCAGCAGATTTTGAGTGGGCCCACAGGAGCAGGAGGAATGATGGGGGCGGGAGGATCAATGGGAGGCGGAGGAACGGCGGGCGCGAGCACCAATCCGTTTCTTCTTTGAGGAAACGTCGCCTGTTCTGCTCACCTTTCTGCCTCCTCTGTTGTACCTGCTCACCCCGTCGTCCCATCGCAAGCTGTGCCCATGAAAAATGTCTGCATCTTTATATTTAAAGAAAAAAAACATTTTCCTTCAAAAGCATTATTTCATTTCAAAATACGTTTCCACTTTTACTTCCTGTCATTTCAGTTTTAGATCATTTTGGGCGTTGAATATTTATTTAGTTTCTGTCTCCTGTTCTGTGTTGTACTTCTTTTTGTTTCTGCTCCGTCCTGTCGTGAGGTAAACGTCAGTCGGTGGACTTTTCAGACGTGTCACTCTGCTTCTAAAACTGCTGCACAGAGAGCCGGTGGGAGAGGTCGCAAAGCCACTAACAAACTGATTAGAGGAACTGTTGTACCTGCCTCCTCTTCCTCCCTCTAACATGAAGATGTACACTGAGTCACTAAAATGGAAGCATGAAGGATCAGTTCTTTGTTTTTAAAGACTCCAGACGAAGACGCAGGCCGAAAAACCTGCATTAACATTTCAGGCACAATGTGATCAAAACATCTCGGATGTTTCACTTTTAATTTATTTTAATGTTAAGTATAATTTATTATTTTTTTTTCCCAATACTTTGGGAACAAATAAGAACGTTCATGCAGCGATGCCATTTAAATCAAAAGCATTTTTTTTTTTTCCTGACAGTTGTTGTAAAGTTTCAGAGGTTTATTTGTGGTCCGATGTGGGGGAGAACTGTTGAATGTGTGTGATTGAGAACACAAATGCTTATTTATGAGCGTGCAGATGCCCGTTTGTGTTCACGTTCCGGTCCTCATCGGGTTTTTCTGTGTCCGATCTCAGCAACTCTGGAAGAAATGGCATCCATTACTTTTGTGAAAACTGCTGTAATTTCACACGCAGAGTATTATAAGGGTTACATGATTTTGTGCTAATTTGTCTTCTCTTTGTTAATCAGAAGCGATTTTTATTCTTTCACATGTTTCAGGTGTCCCAGGGCATCATTGTCCTCATGTTTCATCCCCGCCCCCTAAAGAGAAGGGGCGGGGCTACTGATGTTTCTTTAAAAAGAGACATTTCAATGAATGAAATGAGAAAAAAAAAAAAACTGACTTGAAAACATGCTCCATGCTTTTAGTTTAATGAATTTATTTTATATCAAGAAAAAAAAAAAATCTTTTATTGGGTAAGGTTGAATTTTGTGTGTTAACTGTGAAAACTCACATTTGAAAAAAAAAAAAAATCTAAAGAAATTTATGGAATAAAACAAACACAGGGTTTGTGTTTGACTTTTTTCATGCCTTTTTTTTTTTAGGTAGCTGTTCCTTTTTTTTTGGTACATTTTAAAATCTAGTCGATGAAAAATAAAAACTAGTATACGACACAAAAATTAAAACGTCAAACATTCAGCCATAACGTGACTCGATCCCAGACTTGCTGTCGGAGAAACAAGAGGTATTTCTCAGTTTTTGATTTTTCTCCGGGCAACGAGGGTCAAACGAGAGAATCCCAGTCGAAGTCGTCCTGAAACTCCTCACTGTTGCTTTTCAGATGCTTTAGTGGGAGACGCTGTCGGGGCGTCGCAGACTGAGGCTGGATCCCAGCTGACACGTGAAAGAGAAAGCAAAAGTTTATAATTAAGGAAGTGAAATATATATTTTTTTCAGTTTCTATGGCTTTGAAAAACTTCTCCTTTTTAACGAAGTGAACTACTTGAACTTTACTCCCCAAATACTTAAATTAGTTTAACAATTCTATGATGATTTGTTATAAAATCAAGTTGATTCTGTCCCGTTTTCACTTGTAATGGTGAAAAAGTGAGGACACTTTTATTTAGATTTGAACCAGTTTAAACAAATCTGTGTTTCGTTGTTTTAAGATTTTATACAACACTGGATAATTTATAGTTCCTTCATTGCATCTGTTGCTTAACAGATTAACAGTCTAATGTTTGGAGTTTCTGTAATCAAAGCTGCCACAGAGTCTGACTCTTATTTTGTAGAGTATTTTATTTTGAAACTCAATATTATTTTTCCCCCCAGTTTGCCCCTTATGTGTTTTTTTTGGACTTGAGACAAAATTATCCTTCAAAGTTTTGCTCAGTGAAATAGATTTCTACTGCAATGGCTAACCACAGCACATTCTGCATGGAACACTTAACTTGTGAGAGTTTGTGCCGCCATCTTGGTAGGTGCTTGCCAAGATGGAGCAGCAGTACTAAAATCTTTTCACTGTAGACTAGTCTGCTATCACTAAAGTGAAGCAGTGTACTGAGGGTGAACATACACCAACTAACTGAAAATATGCCATAAATATTAACATTTTTCATTTAAATAATTGCTATTAGTCTATAAACCTGTTCAATGCATTTATTGGGTAAAGTCTGTATTCTAGATAATGGTGGATTAGAATGAAGGCTAAACAAAATCTGTTATCTTTGTTTGTTCATGTTATATAGCTTAAACATTCTCAGAATTATGTGGGGAATAATGTCTACAATATGTAAATTGAAAATATTAAATCTTATGTGTAATAACAGATGCTGGTAGCAGAGCTCAGGTTAGATTAGATGGGGCAGAGGCAGGACAGCCAACTCAGGACCCTAAAGTCCCAGGTTTGATCCCCAGCCATTCCCACATGTCATGGTGGCTCTGCGCAAGACACCTAATCCCTAACTGCTCCCCAGGTGCTTGCATAGTTGCCCACTGCTTCACCTGGATGTATCCAAGGTGTGATGAGTTAAATGCAGAGAACTAATGAACTAATGTCATCATTGTATGTTCCCATACAATGATGACAACACAGCACTTTACATGCAAAGTACCGGTACCTACGGTAATTAAAGTGCAGCTGGGTACTGGTCTGAAAAAAATCAGAACAAACTAATACTACTACTTATGAGGAACTTGGTAACTTTACGCTTGACAGGGAAGCTATACTGGTACAGCTTTATTTTTATTTTTATTTTTTGAGTGTGTGTGTGGGTATTTGGACTGATTGCAGCATATATAAGGTGTTGATAGTGTGTGATTTTGACTTGTAAATGATACACAATGATGAGTAACACAGCAAGATGGCTGCCTTCGAATCTTGCCTAGCACTGTCGGTGGCACTCGTGTGTATTTCTGCTTCAGTGGTTCTAATCATGACACAATCGCTCAAATTATATTGATTTTATGGGTGTAATAGTGAGATAACTTAGGATCTATGTTTGCCATATTAGTTGAGAAAATGGTAGTGTTTAATATTTTCCATGACAGAATGAATGAAATTGTCAAATCTCAGCCAAAAACAGGGTTATAAATATGGGAACAAACATAAATAAGTTGCTTTGCTGTACAAGTTGCAGGACATGCTAATTTATGCAAAAAACTGCAACTTATACTGCAAAAAGTACGGTAGCTTAAACAAATATATATGTTTATCAACTTAATTGTTAAGCTTTTTAAGAGAGCTTTCTTTTCAAGTTTAAAGAGTAAATTCAAAACTCAAAAATAATGAATATGGGTGTGTACTCAATGTACTGGGATGAGTTTTTAAAAAACGTATAGCAGTGAGGGATGCTGTGTTTTGGAAGAGGATTCCAAAACTCTTTTTTTTTTTTTATTATTTTATTTTATTTTCAGAATTCTTACTTAAATCTCTGAATCTCACAATTCTGAGGTTGAAGTAAGATTTTTTTTTTTCACCATGGCCCTAATCGTCTTCCATACGGGGTGAAAGGAGACAAAAGTGCTTTGTTTCATGTACAGGTCCTTCTCAAAAAATTAGCATATTGTGATAAAGGTCATTATTTTCCATAATGTAATGATAAAAATGAAACTTTCATATATTTCAGATTCATTGCACACCAACTGAAATATTTCAGGTCTTTAATTGTTTTAATACTGATGATTATGGCATACAGCTCATGAAAA